ATTTTTTTTATAGCAAAATAATATTAAACTTTTAGTTGACATTTATGAATCCGATATAAAATGGTCTTGGTTTTTGGTATCTTTGGGTTGCTGTTTCACTGACATGTACCTAACACCTCCTTTTTGGTCATAATATTCTATCCATGAATAGTAAGGCCATAAGACTGTGGTTCTCCATTTGAATTTAATAGTATGAGCTCCACCATTGAATAAGAATAAGAATAAGAATATTATTCCAATTAAGGGCCCTTGATGGGCAGCATGACATGTACACATACATTGACATAAAACAATACATCATGATTTGTAACAGAAAAACATTTTTTTTTTTATATATTGAAATGAAACATTAAAAAGTTCAGACATGTTATTATCTCCATTCTATATCAAAATCACATACATTTAATTCCAGGCAGGACCAGAACCATAAAATCATTACAATTATCATTGTTATAACATACATTAATTTACATTTCGTCTAACATCTAGACATGTAATAATATAGTTCCCTAAATATTTAAGTACAGACAAATTTTCATTAGTAAATAACCAAAAATATTTTGCCTCATTTGAGAGATATGAAAAATTAGGACAAATACTGTTTATCTCCTTGAAAAATATCTCCCTATCATCTTTGTATGCTGGACAACTAATAATAAAATGTTGTTCATCTTCAACCAGAGTTAGAGTACATTTCTTACAAAGCCTTTGGTCTCTTTCTATATACAAAGTTTTATACCTGTCTCTTTCTAGAGTTCCAGTCAAAAATGTTGAGTCCCGGCCAGACTCATCTAGATGCTTTACCATGCAAGGACTCTCTCTATATATATATATATATGAATAGCATTTATAAGTGAGATAAGCAATCTCACCAATTTTGATATGTCATTTAGAAGTCGCATGAATAGAAATTAACTATTAAAATAAATTCTTATGCATCGTAATGAAATTCCTTGTTATGTAATTCTTTCAGATGAATATTTAAATAACAGTCATTGTATTTAATATAGTTGAACATGAGCATATTAAACTTTGAAGATTTTTTGAATTTATAATAATACTATGATGTAACTGCATGTAAAAGGCATCCTACATGTATGAAATTTAATGCATATTCAATAAATCTGTAAAGATGGGGCTGAATATTTCAAATGATTTAAGTAAATCATTTTTAGAATTTGTAAATTTTCAGTTTATAAATTAAAATGTAATTCTATTGAAACTATGGTTGTAACGTCCCTTAACCCTAATTAAAGGTAATACCCTCACTCTAGGAAGAAGTCTACATTGCATTCAACTTGTCTGTCCATCTATCCACCTTTCCATTTGTCTGTCTGTTTGTCTGTCATTCAACAAATATTTTCTTCAAAGTTTCTCAGGTACTTATGAATTGGATGACTTCAGTAGCGGTGATGGTGTTAAATTGTAATGTGAGATCTTTTCAGATCTGTAAGACACCTTTAGCCTGTTTGTGGATACTTAGAATTTTTCAATATGTCGAATGAACTTAACTCTGATCTTAATTGATATTTTTGTCATAAATTTCTCCAGTATTGACTAAACAGAATGACTCCATATTTGGTCAGCAGACTGACAATGATGAGTTGTAATGTGTGATCACTTTTCAAATCTGTCAGACACTTACTTCCTGTTTGACCATACCATGTTGAATGAACTTAATATTTTCGTCACTCATATCTCCAGTACTGCTGAACAGAATGACTTTTTATTTGGTCTGCAGCTTGACAATGATGAGTTGTACCGTGTGAGCGATTTAAGTACCTGTCTAAGACCTACTTCCGTTATACATTGAATTACAATTGGGGGCATGAATAGTGTAATGATGCATGTAATTTCGGGTTTGTCTTTCCAAACTTTGAAGTTTTGAGCGTATTTATTTATTAAGCTCACTGAAATTGGCTAGGAACCGATTGAACCTTTATACTTTATATTGATTTGTTGAAAAGCTTTGATTGCAGCACAAATGTTCCTCAGAAAGTTTTCAGCAGCTCTTTCTTTTATATATATATATATATAGATAAAAGGAGATGTTGGGTGGATGACTTCAATGCAAGATATATGTATATATGTACTCTAAATCTGGTTGAAGATGAACAACATTTTATTACTAGTTGTCCAGCATACAATAATGATAGGGAGATATTTTTCAAGGAGATAAACTGTATCTGTCCCAATTTTATATATCTTTCAAATGAGGCAAAATTTGTTTGGTTATTTACTAATGAAAATTTGTCTATACTTAAATATTTAGGGAGCTATATTATTACATGTCTAGATGTTAGACGAAATGTTAATTAATGTATGTAATAACAATGATAATTGTAATGATTTTATAGTTCTGATCCTGCCTGGAATTAAATGTATGTGATTTTTTATAGAATGAAGATAATAACATCTGTCTGAACTTTTCAATGTTTCATTTTAATATATAAAAATGTTTTTCTGTTACAAATCATGATGTATTGTTTTATGTGTACATGTTATGTTGCCCACCAATGGCCCTTGATTGGAATAATAAATATTCTTATTCTTCTTATTCTTCTTATATGTAATATACATCTATCATTAATACTTATGGTTTGATGCAGGTTGATTTCTCTAACTAAATAATGTATTGATTGCCATCTCTAAATGCTAAAAGGATGAAAAAAGGAAATTTGAGAATTTAAATCCTCAGTGTTCCTGATTTGAATCTTTAATACCTTTTCCTTAATGAAATATTTGAAAGATGTGAAGAAGTTTAGATTCATTAATCTGATGGATCTAAAGCAGTATACTTTTGTAAGAAGAGGACATTTTTGTAATTATCTTAATGACTGCTCGTTAATCTACCTGCTTCAAAGTTTCAGGCATAATATACAACCTGCTGAAAAAAAATCTATTGTAAAGACTTGAAACAGTACACATATGTATCTGAGTAATCAATGGTTTAATATAAGTTTTGTGGATATTTAATGATGTCATTTTGGTCCACATTCATGTTACAAAGTAGATTTTTTACTGTATATCATATGATATTTACTAGTATATAATATCTTATATATATAATATTAAATCAAAAGATATTATTAAAATGAAAATGAAATCACAGTTTTATTACCTCTACGCAGAAAAAAAATTTTGTATAGAGTATTTTATAAGTGCCAAAATCAGGGGTAAATCCAGGATTTGATGTTATGGAGGTGTGCTCCAGAGAATCGAGAGTCAGAGGATCTTATTTTGACATAAAATTGGCTGTAATTTTACCTTTATAACATTTTTTCATCTTTTAGGGAGGGGCACTTCAGGTGTTCCCCCATCTGAATTCATATATATATAAAAATAAGAAGATGTTGCATGATTGTCAATGAGACAACTCTCCATTAGAGACCAAATGAAGTAGAAATTAACAACTATAGGTCACCATACAGCCTTCAACAATGGGCAGAACCTATACTGCATAGTTAACTATAAAAGGCCCTGAAATGACAAATGTAAAACAATTTACAGAAGAAACCTAACTGCATGCTATTTAAGTTGGTAAATTTGAAAAATATGTAACCATTCAAAATGTAAACAGTACTTGTCATACACATCAAACTTTATAATTGGGTTTTTTCCAAACTACATGTTTTTTATTTTGCCTTTGTGACAATTGTCATTTACTTAAGAAAACAAAAAATGCATCTTTGATTACACATGAAGTTTAATAGCAGAACAAGGTTTATGATGTATCATTCATTTATGCAGGTAACGCGAGTTCTAACCTCCCTTCCACAAGGTGTATTTGACTCTGAAGGCATAAAAGTGGGATTGTCAGTATAGAAAGTCAGTGGTTCTCTATGGCAACTCCTGCATCCCTCGTGAACCATTAAAACTGGCTCCATAATTATATAACAAAGTGTGCTGAAAATGGCTTTAACGCTTCTCGTTTTTTTATATAGATTAGACCGTTGGTTTTCATGTTTGAATCGTTTTACACTAGTCATTTTTGGGCCCTTTATAGCTTGCAGTTCGGTGTGAGGCAAAGGGTCTGTGTTGAAGGCTGTACTTTGACTTATAATTGTTTACTTTTTACACATTGTGACTTGGATGGATAGTTTTGTCATTGGCACTCATACCACATTTTCGTATTTCTATTAAACACAGACCAAAAATCTTTGATAGTTTGTAACCATTCTTCAACTGATCAACATTTCACTAATTGATTATGTGGATGTTGACTCGAAACATTCCAGAGAAGTTCCCACATTTAGTTAAGTGCCTAATGTACACAAAACTATACTGAAAGGTCTTGAAGATCATACATAATTTGCTGTGAATATTTTATTCATAAAAAAATTCTCAATGGAATTCCATATTACCATTGATTTATTTCGTGCTAACGTAGAAAATATTTGTATCTTCAACTTAAATATAAATGACTTATCTCTCTGGATCAATTTGTAACATTTTTTGTGTAAGTGATGACATGCTTGAGGTATTAATCATGAGAGTACAATATAGTTGCATTGTCATTGGTAGTATATTATTTGATGGTTGCGTTCTTATGTAAACAATGCATTTTCAATCTAATCAAATTTAGTATTATCCTGTATATGTACATGTATTGTCATGTATATTAGATTGTGACACTATAATAAACTATTTACTAACTAATACTCTGTACTACAAGATTATTAAAAGATACTTTTTTTCTATAAAATTTAGATACAAATAAAAAGTAGGGAATTTTTAACTACTGATGACTCATTTATTTCCATGGATACCAATTTTCGTGGATTGTGGAAAACTTGAATTTTTGTGGAAATTTGGTTTGTGGTTTGTGTCAAAATCTGCATACAACCTCATAGAAAAATTTATAATTTGTTGTACATTTAAATTTGTGGTTCACATGTACCGACGAAATCCACAGAAATTGGTATCCAACGAATAATAATGAATCCACAATATTTTTTAGTATGAATAGAATAATTTCATTTATTATCATTTTCTTTCAGAATTGTTTGGAAATGGAAAGATATTTAAAAAGTGAACCAAAATTAACTTCTTACAAAAAAATATCAGACACAAACCCATGGGACGATTGTGTAAATTGTGATTCAAAGTATACCGAACCTGATGGTATCCGATTAGAAATGAAGGACGAAAATGGTGAATTTCATCATTTAGCCGATTTAGATGATTATGAAGGATCAGATGATGAGGACGATGATGATGATGAAGACGGCAATGAAACAGAAACGGAAGAGAGACTTCAGCAGTTAGCACATTTAAATCTAAATGACCCTTGTTCGGATAGAATTAGTTTACATAGTTTTAGTTCTGCATCAAGTGGTGTGTCATGGGACAGTAACCATAGTGACCCGCCATTATCTCCTATTATTCCTAAATCTAATGACCCATTTGCTCTAAGACTTGTTGCTCAACCAGGCCGCACAACGACAGTGGCAGTGCGAATACCTCAAGCAGAAATGATGCGACATCAGCGATATTATATCACAAGTCCCAGTGGGGCCAATGGACGACCTCGCCCTTACACTGCTCAACCACTTCAGCAAAGACCCCCAGTAGCTTTAAATGGCAAAATTCGTACAGATGTTAGTCCCGACATGCGTAGACGAAATCACAAATGCCCATATAATGGGTGTAAAAAAGTTTACACAAAAAGTTCTCATTTAAAAGCACATCTTCGGACACATACAGGTAGGTTATTAAAATAAGTTATAGGTTTAAAATAAATAATTAGTGAGGTGCAACACCACTATGTCTTTTGCACTTGAAATATAACAAACAATTTTGTTTGTGGGTGTCAAAATCTTGAATTATTGTAGTAAGAAAAAATGAACTTAACAATCTATAGCTTTTAAAGATCTGTATTTAAACAACTGAACTGTAGAGTAACTTATCAGCAATATACATGTAGAAGTAACAGTCAGGAAAAGACATCAAAATATTGTGAAAGGTGATGGTGTATCGATTCATGACACAAAACCACTACACACGCTTGAAAAAAACAAAAAAATAGCCATCAATTACTGTTCTTTAAAGTCACAGTGAGATCTTCCAACATTGAGCCTTTGTGATTATGAACAAATACACATTTATCTCCTTCCAGTGAAAATTTTTCACCATGTTTGTGGCAGATTTTATACCAAAAAATATGATTGGCGCAAATTTATTGTGCGTTTGAATGCGAAGGCCCAGACACTGAAAAATGGACTTAGTGAAATTTTTATTTTACTTTCTACAGCACAAAGCAAAACTTGACACGAAAAATAACCCAATATATGATATATATAGTTAATTTATTTCTGTGTTTTATTTTTTGCAGGGGAAAAACCATACAAATGTACGTGGGAAGGATGTGAGTGGAGATTTGCACGATCAGATGAACTGACGAGACATTATAGAAAACACACGGGTGCAAAACCATTCCGATGTAAAGTTTGTGATAGATGCTTTTCACGTTCAGATCATTTAGCATTACATATGAAAAGACACCAAACGTCAGACTTATAGCATCAGGGTCAGCTAGGAGTTTTAAGAAATCTCAAACTTAATCATGACCACATAATATATCGAGAAAAAATGTATCTCATATTCTAGAATCAAATTCTAGTGAGGAATAATGATCTGTGTTAGTCTCTACGCATTATATCGTCATAGAAACCAGAATGCCGAGATGTTTAGAATATCAGCCAATCAAGATCAAACGAATCATTTAGTGCTTTTCAGTCAAAACAAATGTACTATTTAACGTTATAAGGATGCAGTTAACCTTGTTATGATTACATTTTTACTTACACTTTAACAATGCAACTTGTATTAACTGAATTTCTGTACACGTATATTAGTTCTTATGAACAAAACCTAATTTATTGGAATTTTTGCCTCTATCCAACCATCCTTTAATTACTTAAATTATGGGAAATAACTATGTATAAATACAGACAATTTTTCATTTTTTCAACACTAATTAGAATTAAGTCTGCGACAAATATTTTCGTGTCACATATTCTCATGTGTTATTACCAGATTATATATGTACATTTTTATTACAAACATGTTACAAAAAACAGCTAGATATGCCTTTGGAATTTATTCAGAAAAAAATACGATTTTATTTAGACTCTTCAGTCATGTCAATGTTAAATTACTTTTCCTTCAAGGTTAATTTTCAATTTTCATTCATGCCAAAGGTAACCTTTTGTATTGCTTTGAATGTTTCTGTAGAAATTTGACCTAGATTTTCTGCCCTTGACTTTTATGTACTAGTTGAAGATAAAATGAACTAAAGACCTTAGGCCGATTTGTTTCTTACGATCAAGCATAAAGTTTAATTTTGTCAGATTATTGATGACATTATACATATTATATGTTAAAATCTTCTTTTCTGTGTTATGTGATGGGAAGATTATGGGGTCAAGGTAATTTATATGCATTAAAATCAATAGGTAGACGGAAATCAGATGATTTTTCTCTTAAAAGTGCTATATTACTGTATATAAGACATCTTTTTAGAACCTAGGGGAATAACATATTTACTTCATTCATAACCATGGGAAGAAAAGCTCCAGGAAAGGGATTATCTCCCCTTTTTGTTGATGAACTGATTAAAAGGGAGATAATTCACTGTTGGTGTAACATCTAGTGCATTCAGAGTTGTGCATCAAAATGATACAAATGCATAGGTGTTATATATTATAATCAAGATTTTGGAAAAAGAAAAATGAATTGTTTTGAAATCCTACTATGTGTATGAGAATTAAATATTCAGATTTTTAGTGTAAATTTTCCTGTTATATTGTATTATGGTTAATGTTATGTTTTTGGTATTTTTGTTTTACAGTAATTTTTCATATACAGTAATTTAAACAGTGCTATAAAGATATCTATGTAAAATTACTATTCAGCTAAACTTTTACTGGTAATATTGACTTCTTTAAATTTAAAAAAAAGAGAAGGGATTAAGCAGTCAAAAATAGAAAGAGTTAATTCAAAAGACACACAAATTTTTCCGTCATAAGGATTGGGGAAAGGGACTTAACCAAATCTAATCCCATGGATCCCTAACTTGTACAGCCAGAGAGTAGTTAAAATTAACCAAAAACAAATTAAGTTTAGATATACTGGACACAAGTGGGGCACAATTTAATTTAATTAACACACCTTTAATATTAAAATGTATGATAAACTGTCAATAATCCTGGTTTTCATCAGATTGAACTAAAAGTATATGAACATGGTTGTCTCCCCTTTAATAAACATTGTAATGTATTCTATGTTGTGATATTTTGTTTTATCTGTGCTTTATCACCAATAGTGCATTAATTATTCCATATGAAAAAATTAGTTTGAGTAAATATAGACTTAAGGATAAGGTATTTAACCCTTCAGATCATTAATGTGTTTGTTGAAGCCAGTTTCATTGGTGCTTTTTAAGCACTCATATGAAAAAGAATTAAAATAATCTGTTTTGCTTAGAAGAATGTATTGATGAAAATGGTTCAAACAAACATACCAGTGATTCTTAAGAGTTATCTCCCTTATTCTAGGTCAACTTAATATGAATAAAAGGTCATGAGATGAAACCAAAAAATGAAAGGGAAAAAAAACAAATTGATCTAGAGGTCAACACACCATCTCAAGTTTGTGGTCTTGTGGCATTGTATCAATTTATTTTATTTTATATTTTGAAAATACTGATTTAATATTTCCAATACAGAGTTACTGGTAATCATTTCAAGCAGAAAGATAGTGAACTGTGAACTGAAATTATAAGGGGTGTTCCATTGAAATGGCTGTAAAAAGGGCAAGAAGGGACTCCCAAAGACCCGTACAACCAACATACCTTGTTTGGGTAATTTTGCAAACATCAAATGAACATAAAACCATAAATGACCCCTGAACCATGAACCATGACCAATGAACCATGACCCATGTACAAAAATAAAAATTCCCTTCCTACCCTCTCACAATCATTAAATGGAATATTACCCTGAAGTATAAAACAATATACATAGATACTAAAAGAAAAAGCTTAGCACTTAATATTTATAAGAAACCTATTGTAATGATGAGAGTACATTTAAATCAACATACTATGATAAAGTAATTTCTTTTCATTATAGTTTTTTGATGCTGATTAAATCTCTGAGCTCTTTAAATGTTGATATTGAAACACAGCAATTTCACTAATAAATACCTGGATACTGATACAGTCCAGGTATTGTGACATGTAGGATATTCACTCTCTTGACCTTTGACCTAAAATAGTGGACAGTTGTATCATTTGCAAATCAAAATCTCATCTGGTTTTATTTGGAAATATTAATTTTGTCACGATTTAATTAGTAAACAACCAATAAATGATTTATTTTATACTTGATGGCAAATACGTGAAGTATCAGTAATGAAAAAGTAATATGAGATTGTATTGGTATATTAATAATGTATTATTAAAATTGATTTCTCATTCTTTAAATGAAAAAGTGGCTGATGTCAGCAAAATTGCTTTAAAAGGTGTTCCTTGGGCTCTGTATTGACTTAGAAGGATGGACCATATCCCTGGGCTCTGTATTGACTTAGAAGGATGGGACCATATTCCTGACTCTGAAGGACTTAGAAGGATGGGACAATATCCCTGGGCTCTGAAGGACTTAGAAGGATGGACCATATACCTGGGCTCTTAAGGACTTAGAAGGATGGACCATATCCCTGGGCTCTGAAGGACTTAGAAGGATGGACCATATCCCTGGGCTCTGAAGGACTTAGAAGGATGGACCATATACCTGGGCTCGGAAGGAATTGAATGATTGGCTATACTAAAAGTTGGCTCATTACAAAAATTTCAAAAACACATAAATTTCGATTGTTTTAATGTAAATATTTCAACTCCACCAAATATGTTCAAGATACATTTTATTTTGGGAGTGGGCTTGTGAAGGATAATTTTTGATTAGGTGCAAATGATCAAATCACAAATCACAAGATCTGACAAACCAAAGCTGAAGTATTATGATTTTAACATTATATAAAAAAACCATACTCTGATTTGTAGTTTTTCATGAACAGATACCAGAACATTCAAATACCAGATATTCCTTGCAGACAATATCCTTTAGTATTTTCGCTATAGTAGAAGGATGTTAACATTGGATATGCTAAAATAATCCTTACTTCAACTTTACGTATTTGTTCATACTTGTTGAAGCTGTTGGCATTTCTAAACTTTCAGAATACCCCTCTCTGACTTTCTGAGTGTTATTCATAATTTGTTGTCAAGCAATGTGCTAACTGTTAAAGAGCTAACCAATTACATCCTTCAACTTTTCTAAAATGTGTTGAACCTAAAGGGAAGTTTAGCAAGGACATACCGGTTATTTCCCCTTTTTAACAAACTGTGGTGTAAGGGAAGTAACTCTAATTTGTATGTGGCAATTTTTCATTCATTATGCATTGATAGTCTGTGATACTATGTATTTTATTACATGTTTTTATATATTAATATATTGTCTTGCCTTAAGTAGTTTGATGTAGATTTTCCAGTGAAAAAGTAGAAACTTTAAAAAGCCATGCATGCAGCATTTCTAAATGTTATGGGTATTTTTTGTTTTTTTGCAACAGCTTAATCATGTTAATTAATTGAAACTAATTAGAAGGTTTAAGAATGTTATATGAGGATTTTTTCTTTCACATTGTTTTATTTAATTAGTTGTTTCTAAATCTATGGGTAATTTTATTGTTCTAAATTAAAATAATGTCACATCATTGGTTGAATTTCCATTGTTTAGGACGGTTTGTAACCAATCAGAACGTTTTGATGTATACTTTTGAAAATATTTCCCAGAATACAATAGATTTTCAAATGGCCAGTTGGTATTGTCTCATATGAACACTTGAATATTCTAGCCACAATAATGAATCAGTCAACCCAACCATTTGTTGAAGGTGCTAACCAATCTACTAAACCCCATTGTTTCACTGGCAATACAAACTATATGCAACATATTCATGTGTTAAAATTAAAAGAACATTGACAACATTTGTAGATTTCACAAATTTCAAAACAAATTTGTGTCTAGATTACAGACTTTAAAAGTTGAATCAAAAGGATTATGTCATAAATAAGATACTGTTACCATGGTTACATATTCAATATCAGCATTATTTGCAAAGTTGTTCATTACACATGTATTGGAAAGTAGGTGATTATAAATTTGTATCTTCAAACGGAAAATTATTTAAATATCTTTTAGTGGGAAAGTGTATTTATCATTCCAAATGATATGATTAGAAAAAGGGGTGTATTATTTTCTGCCAGAACATGAAAGATTAGATTCTTATGAATTGAAACCTGGTGAAAGGGGAAATTACTTATGATTTAATGTAAGCATATAAGTTGCTGTAAACATAACTTTTTTTGTAACTTTTTTTTGTAAACAATTATTTTCACAATTTATTTAAGGGACTTTCTTGTGTAAAAAGAAACATAATTATAGAGGGTCATGGATGTGTCTAACTTGGATCTTCTGTCCAATGAACACATCAGAAGAGTAAGAAAATCTTGTAAATAAACCACCAGCAAGTCTTCTATAAAAGGCTTTGGGCGAAAAAATTATCTGTGAAAATAAGTTGGTTTACAATAAATGTAAGATAAATTTGGAGTTGTCTTTCTTTGTGCAAAATATAGGGTAATTTTAAATTTGGTTGAATAAGAATTTTTGATATAGTAATAAATATAATGTTTTGAATGCAAAATATCTTAAATTCTCTATACTTTTTTATATTAAAATTTTCATTAGATATTTGTATGAGGTTGATTATTAAAGGTTACATTATTCAAAATGAAATTAATCAGATTCATTACTTACAAATCATGTTTAATCAGCTTTTAGCATAAATGAAATAAGATTTTTCATTCTCGTTTCTAACAGAACAATAAATGATCTACAAACCACATTATGTAATCCAGAAGTATTTAGTAAAATATCAACTAAGACGATTTCCTATGATGTAAAAGAACAAGTCATACCATACTAGTGAGAAGAAACTCTGAATAAAAAAATAATGTGGAAATTTATGTAAATTTTAGCATTTGTTATTGCAATGTAATGTTAATACAAAAAAGCTCTTCGGAAGCACAAAAATTATAAAGTGTTATTTATAAATTATTAATATTTGACTTTTTGAACAGCTCAGTTGAATATTATATAAGATACAATTGCTTGCTTTATTTCTTCTGTTTGACAAACCTCTAAAATCTAAGTCTAAATAAAGAAACCATTTACGCTTCAAAAATAACCATCCTGGAATCAGAGCAACTGGACATGCAGTAATTTCACAGTAGTTTGTGTTGCCTTTGCCGGTGAGAAGTTAACAAATTTTTTAAGTAGCATTCAGATCTGAATTAAAATGTGATAATTTAATTGAATCCATGATAATATATATCCCCATGAGTATTGAGTGTGTTTCCTATATACTGAAATATATTAAATATATTAGTGAATTGTTATGGTCAGTCCAGTAACCTTATGTTACCTTGTTTTACTGATATGGTATAACCTTTCTTTAATGTGGCACATACCATTATTGTTTGTAGGGAAGGTGTTGATGTATGAGATGCATCTTATTATTTGTTTATATGAGATATCTTTTTGAGAATATGTATACATTTAATTTTGCAATTTATTGTTTTATGTATATATAACTATTGTGTACATATTCTGAAGATAAGATATTGAATAAATATATATATTTACTTTTTATTTTATTATTTTATGATTGAAGGAGAGGAAAGGTAAATATCAGTGTGACAGCAATTGAATATTTTAAGATGTTTTACATTCGTTCTGTTAGTTTATATAGTCTAACGTTTGATTTTGTCTGGTTTTGTGGACTTTCCCCTTTTTGGATTTACCTTGGAGTTCGTTTTTCATACGACCAATTTTTTGCAGTCGTATATTGCTATCATGTTGGCGTCATCGTCGTCGTCCAAAGACATTTGGTTTCCATACAATAACTTTTAGTATGAAATTATATCTGAATGTTCAAAACACATGTACCACAAAAGGAAGGTTGGGATTGATTTTGGGGGTGATGGTCCTAACCGTTTAGGAATTAGGGGCCAAAAAGGGGCCCAAAACAAGCATTTTTCTAGTTACAGGACATTAACTTGTGTATAAGTATTTTGATTGCTCTGAAATTGTACCACAAGGTTCAATACCACAAGTAGAAGGTTGGGAATCATTTTGGGGGTCAATTTTTTTTCCTCAAGATTTAAGAAATTGTCAATCTTCCAAAGGAAAATTGGGGGTCAAAATTTATTTTTGCTAATTCTTTATATATAGTCTGAAAACAGATTTAATAAGTATTGCACAACAGCACAGTGTATTGCACCACAGCAAGAAATCTTCACAATTGAATATAAATTCAAATCATATAACCAATTTCAAGTTCTTTGACTACATTTATTGTGTCGGAAACCTATAATGTGTCAAATATTTAATTACAATCCAAATTCAGACCTGTATCCAGCTTGAATATTTTATCCATTTTTGCCCCAACTGTTCAGTGTTGGATCTCTGCGGTCGTATCCAGCTGCGCTCAGCGAAGCAGTTTATTTTGTTAATACTTATTTTTTGCCCATCTAAGACGGGTCATATTATGGTATACCGCTGTCCGTCTGTCCATCCATCGTCAACACTTCGGACAAGAACTCAAAAATGCTTTCACCAATTTGCATGAAACTTTGGTGAATTGTTTATATCTATTGATGCAAGCTTTCTTTCAATTTTTATAAATTTCCGATGTAATGTTTCCAAGTTTTTATTCCTAGAAAAGGGGATTTTCTAGTTTTCAGACAAGAACTCAAAAACCTTTTTGAGCAGTATTCATGAAACTATGGTTTATATCTATTGAAATAAGCTTCCTTTTGTTTTTTTTTTTATAAATTTCTGATATGACATTGTGGAGTCATGATGGACTTTGTTCGTTGAAAAATCATCAAAACTAAAAGGGCAACAGGCATATCATACGCTCATCGCACAGCTCTTTATTTTTTAAAACATGGATTATATTTTAGTTGAAACTTGGAATTTTTTGTCATTTCGAAGTACAAGTCTATAAGAACTTTATTCTTTGTGGTTTAGTTTCAAATATCAGCCAACTGTATTGAAACATTGGGATCACTTTTTTCATTGTCTTTATAAATTACCAACTCATTGAAAATGGTGTGACATAATACAACCAAACGTGTACTAATATTTCTTTTCTTTTTTTTTAATTAAAAATATATAATATACAATAGTACAGACATTGAAATATCACTTCATATATATATATATATATATATATATATGTAGGACTCTGAACCGTGATGGTACTCCGAATCCCGCTGGTCACGCTGAAGTGCGATGGACCGCGCTGAAGTGCGTTGGTTAACACGTTGAATTGCGATGGTCTAGTGCGTTGGTGGTTATGCTGAATTGTGATGGTCTAACTGTGACGTTGATGTTCATTGTTACGATGAAGTGCGATGCTGTATACTAGCTAAAGTGCAATGGTCTGAAGTAAAAGAACCACATTTAATATTGATTGTAGTGGTTAGCATGCTAGCCTTGCATTTGGAAGGTCGATTTTGATTTCTGGTCAGGTGAAACTAACAGGTTGGGAAAAATCCTCGTAAATGGGTACTATCCCCATTTATGATATGGGTATTATACCTGAAATTGGGTATCAATTAACAGTGACAAAAAATCAAATTTTGTATTTCATCATGTTAGCTCTCATGGCGCAAATATTCATACAAATGGCAACATTTCCCTTTAAGACCATAGTTCAAATGAGAACTGAATACAAAGATAATGGCCTCCAAATATCCTACTTTTTTAAGACTGTTAACTTTTATCCTCATAACATTTCAGCCATGGCGTCTTTAAGAAAAATGTTGTCCTTTACCCGAATGCTTGAGCCATGACAGAAAATATCTGTAAATCCAAAATTTATATTTTTATCACTGAAAATTGATACCCGTTTTGGAGTATAATACCCATAAATGAGGATAATACCCATTTATAAGGATCCTTCCAAACCTGACCAAAGACTTAAAAACTTAAATTTTCTGATTATGCAGGGTCCAATGACAAATCTCAGTTTATCAAATGTAACTTGTTCTCGTCATGTCATAGCTAAGAAATTACTAACAACAATCATTCATCCATTTATCTGATGTCGTTTTCAGGAGACAAAAAAACGCCAAGTACATTTGTGCTTGACTTATGTCGAGACTTGTCACGTGTTCCTTCAAATACTTTAACATTAGCTGCTAGGTAAGTACACGTAAGGACCAGTCGGGTTTATTTCGGCCTTACCCGTGTTAAAAGATTAACACTGTAACCACAATAAAATTAGACTAGAGGGCCGGTTTTCTTACAAAGCAGGTTTCATCTAAGGAATAAAACAAAATTATATCAACTTGATATAACATAAACATTGCTAATAATTAATTTTATTATTACATTGTCCTCATAAAATCATGTAAAGCATACTTGAAGAAAAGTAAAAATTAATATTTAGGTCAGTATATTTCATTTGTCGTACAAAAAGTTTGCGGCATACTTCCAAACACTGGTTAGCCCATCTGCAGACCTTCACCTTTCAGCCGCTTTGCTCCTCACGATTTGCCTCCTGACTTGGTTTTACATATATTTGTAAACTCCACATGCATGCTCAAAACTGTTCGGGACTTGAATCGTTCGTTACTTTCTTTTTCCTTTTCTTTCCTTTGTTAGCATGAAACCTTCATTTACAAAATCTTATCCGCCTGCCTCCAAATTCCCGTTGTATTAAAAGTAACGTTGTATTTGAAAACGTCACAATATTCAAGCGTCATGCCAAACAATCGCATTTCAGCGAAAGGAGCATCGTACTTCGGAGCAAACCATCGCACTTCAGCGTCCCCATCGCACCTCCGAGTCCTACATTTATATATATATATATAAGTAGAGTATAATACAACTCATCAGAAAATGTATAGTACTAAGACTTGAATTTAACACTTTGTTTGGTTTTTATACATCCGTTTACGGGACGTATTATTATGATATACCTTTGTCTATCCGTCCGTGCGTCGTCGACATGTCGGAAAAAAACGCTTAAACCAATTTTCATGAAACTTTGGTGAATTGTTTATATCTACTGAAGTAAGCTCTCTTTCCATTTTTAAAAAGATTAGATTTTATGTTTCCCAGTTATGGATGGTCACTGGATGTGGAGGAAAAGATGGCTGACACGCTTTTTAGCTCCTGATATTTTATGATATTCAAGCACGTTTTATGCAGTTTGTTTTAATGCACATGTATATATAGCTGTACTCAAACATTCACTTCAACGTCACAATACGTTTTCTAGTTATTAACATAGTTTTAAATCAGTCCTAGGCCTGTCAAAGTGCGTTTTTACCGCTGGCTATAATTTGCCGCCATTTAAAAAATATATAGATAAAAATATATAAGTACGTTCCGGGTATTCAAGCACGTAGTAATAGGGTAAAATAAAAAAAAAATGGTATATACACCAGTTAAAGCTATGAACAATCAATGTACAGACAATACAAAACCATCAAAATAGATGTTGACTATGAACTGAATAAAACAAAGCTATGTCTAATAAATTGAAAGCTTCTGAGAAGAAACTTACTGTCGTACCCGAGTATAAAAGTGGTAACTTAGTATTAACATTTTCTGAGGCAGCATATGAAGAATTCCGAGTAGTCACAAAAAAAGTCCTATTGAGCTCTGACCTACATATAAATCAGACAAATACATGTACCACTGATAAATTTGGATCGATTGTCTCGGAATCTCGTAACGTAACAAAAGGTAGAAAAAAGATATATGTACTAAATTTCTACAATTCGACCTATAGAGTGCTTTTGAATGGAAACCAGAATCATATTATTGATTTTGTATCTTCACAACTATCTGACATTGTACTGATTCTAGATCGTAATAAAGACTTTGCTTACTTAAATGCCAAAAAAAGAGAGGACTGTCAATGCTTCCTTAAGAACAATAAATGACAAAAAAAAAACAAATAGAGAAGCGAAGAAATCTTATGACTCAGCACCTACTGCTTGTTACTTAGACTTATCAATAACAAATAGTAAAAATGCATTGATAATGAAAAAGACGAAAACTCAATATGTCCACCATGTCTATTATTGTGTGAAACTGACTCAAAAGCTGTAGAATGTGACTCGTGCCACCGTCAGGTGCACTATGAGTGTGAAAATATAACGTTAGAAGAAATTGAACAACTAGAAAAAATCAGAACTGACCATATAAATCTAAATCAGAATTCACATTCTCCAGAACTTGCTACCAATACAAACTCAGAACTTAACAATAATACAAGTAATCAACAAGTGTCAATACATACATTGCACAATGATATCAATACTTCTGTTATTACCAACAAGAAAAATGATGATAAATATATGCTTTCTCCAATTACACGCGTAACAAGAAGCATCTCTCTCTCACAGTGAATAAAATACTTGCTCAATCACAAGACAAAAGTCCAGTGAGGGTACAGTCACAAAATAAATGAAGCTCGACCAATTGTAACACAAAAAATTATAATTCAATACTAGAAGAGGAAATCATCCACTTGAAAGCAAAATTAACTCGTAATGAAAAGCTTTTGAAGAATTAAGATAGACAATTATCTAGATAGAAGGGGCTTGTAACAAACAGAGCAT